GTCTTGGAAAACAGTGCTGAACTGAAAGCAGGGGGGGGGGGGGGAAGGACACCCTCAGAGCAGTAACTTGCACGAAACGACAAGAACGAGTTATTCCACAAAATACAAGAGTCTCCCTGGGGCTGGGTCTAAACTGCAGGACCAACTCAGCGGGGGAGGACCGGTTCGCGTCCGCCGGGGCTCCCCGCCTCCTGTGCGCAATCGCTGTGGAAGGCGCCGCAGAACTCTCCGGACGCTTCTGGGGTTCGCTGGAGAGGAGGGGCTGCCGACGGGGGGGGGGGCGGCCTCCTGCGCAGCCGCCTCCGTTGCCACGGCGACGCGGACCGCGGAACTGACCCGACCGGTCACCGCGAGCCCGCTGGGGGGGCGGACGAGCTTCCTGCCATCTCGGGTGTGGGCAGCTGACCCGCAAAGTTCTGGTCATGCGGGTCGAGCTGAGGCCCCGCCCCTGCCCCTTCCGCCCGGGTGACCGCGGGAGAGGACCGGGGCGTGTCTGGTGACGCGGGCCCCTCCAGCCGCGTTACAATGGCCGTGCCGCCTCTGACCTCACGGACTCAGTTAGGAATCACAGGATCTGCCCCACAGCCGGCTCAGAGTTGCTGGGAGGGTCGGGGTGGGGGGTGGGGGGACCCCGGCTGCGCAGTTTTGATGTTCCTGGAGCTCCCCACTCACAGGGGCTCAGAGACCTCAAGATTACCAAACTGGAGCGAAGGCGAAGAGATTCCAGGTGAGCCGTGGAGGCTCGGATTGGAATGGGGCAGGTTTGTGTCCCAGTTGGTCCTTATTTAAAGGGCCCAGGAGCTTTTTTTTAGGTCTGATTGGTTGATTTACAGGCAAGGTCTAGTGGACCCCGCCACGCGTCTGGCTCAGCGTCCTGGGTGTTGGCATGGTACGCGGTCCTCCACACACAGACCCCAGTCTTAATTGTGGGGGTGGGGTTGGCAACCAGGGGAAGAGAGGCCGGAACGCTTGAGGGACACAGGTGTCTGGAATTAGTCTGAGCTCGGACTCGGGAGCTGACACCTTAAGACCTTGTTGAATATGTTATTGGCACCAGAAGACAGGCATTACAATAGAGAGAGAGAGAGAGCCAGAGCGGGGCGAGCCGGCACACCCCTTTAATCCCAGCAGTCAGCGGGGCAGACACAGGCAGAAAGAGAGGACGAAGGATAGAAACTGGGTCCAGAGATGCACGCCTGTAATCCCAGCCCTCGGGGGCAGAGGCAGGCTAGTCTATAAAGCTAGTCCAGGACAGCCAGGGCTACACAGAGAAACCCTGTCTTGACAAAACCAAGTGAGAGAGAGAGAGAGAGGCTGGGTGCCTGTGAAGCCAGACAGAATGGCTAAGGGGAGGGGAGGGGCTGGGGCGGGAACAACAGTGAAGACCAGACTTTATCTTTAAAATAAATAGAAAAATGCCCTACTTCTCAGAAACGTTGACTGGGGCTGCATGCTGGCTCAAACCTCTAATCCAAACTCAGGAATGTTTGCAGGGGATCGCCTGAGCTACATAGTGAACCCATGTCTTAAAAAAGATTTGAGGGGTGTCCCCCCAGCAGCCATCCTCACAGTAAACTAAATTACTCCACCACAGGTTGCTAAGGTGTGTGTGTGTGTGTGTGTATGAATGAAGGTGTCAAATCTTAGGAGCTGCCATGTGGGTGCTGGGAATTGAACCCAGGTCCTCTAGGCAGAGCACCTTTAGTGCTCTTAACCGCTGAGCCATCTCTTCAGCCACCAGGAAGCACCCTTAACTGCCCTCTCTCAGGACTCCTAATATCTTTTGTAGTTCAGAGCGCAGTATTAGGAGACAGGTAGGCAGGTGTGGTCCCACAGTAAAATAGTCACTGTGGTGGGAACACTTCAGCTGATTTAGGCCCCAATGAGGAATGGGGAATGTGGGTCCACCTTCCTTCCACCCTTGGAGCAGCTGAGAACCATGTGCTCCGCTGTCACCGTGGAAGCCAGGACTAGGTGTGAGTTTGAACCTACCTCAGCAGCAGTAGCTGCAGTAGCCAAGACCTGCTGGCATCCGGTGTCCACAGGGGAGGTGGAGACTAGGAAGCCAACATTGCTCACTTTTGGAAGTACTGAAATGCTCATGCTCATGGAGGAGAAGTACGGACAATGGTGCTGAGTGAAATAAGGCCACCCATGAACGGCTAAATGCTGTGCCATTCCAGGTGTATGGGATGCTAAGAGTAGAGGAGTCTGCAGAGACAAAAGTCCAGAAAACACTCCCCTCGTGGTGGGCAAGCTCAGCAGTGGTTACTGGCAACCCTACTCCGGGTATTCCTGCTATCATGAGTCTGTTTCAGAATGAATACGGGCAAAGGCCCTTTGCTGACTTAGGGATTCTAATCACGTCTCCTGGGGCACGGTTCAGATAAGTAGGGAGTGAGTTTGACAGTGGCAGGTCGCCGGGGTAAGCCTCCTGCACCATGCTGAGGTTTGACCAGCCTGTCTTAACGTAGGGCGTCTGGTAGATAATTACCATTGCAGAGGCCATAGAGGATCCTTGAGAGCCTCGGGGGCCGCCCAAGGGTCTTAGGACCTGTGTTCTGAGACAACGGTCCAGTGAGAACACAGCCACCCTGGAGTGCCCAGCACAGCCTAGCATCCCCAAGGCCGGAGGTTACAGCCCCAGCACACACCGAGATAGAACCCAGAGCCAATCCCAAAGATAGTTCCAAAGAATGAAGACAGTGAGAGGTAGGCAGAGTAGGCATTTGGGGATGTTTATTTGACTTCTTTCAGAGATGAAAAGTCAAAATGTATAAATTATAGCACCAGGCAGACACCTTCGGGCCTGAAAGCTCCCGGCACCTTTCTCTAGTTGGCTCCTATTCCCACGAGACAGGAGAGAGCATGGAGTGGCGGGAGGCTTGAGAGCTCGGCAGTAGCTGTAGAGACAGCCGGTGCAGTGTCTCAGCCTGCACCCTCGGCCTTTGGAAGGCTGAGGGAGGACAGCTTGCAGGTGTGACGATCACCTGGGGAACAGGGTGAGTTCCAGCCCAGCCTCCTGGCCTGCAGAGTGAGACACTGCCTTAAAAACAAGGAAACAGCAACCCACAACAACCTCCCGAGAAGTGGGGAGGCAGCTCAATGGGTGGAGGCCCCGAGTTCAACCCTCAGAACCCACGGAACAGAATAGATGGCCATGGTGGCCTGCAGCTGTGGCCACAGGGCACGGATCACCGGCCAGCCAGAGTAACCTACCTGGCCAGGGCTTCCGGTCAATGACAAAGGCCCTGTTTCAGCAAGGTGGTTGTCAGGAGAATGATACCTAGGGCTGACCCCCTGAAGCCGTATGTTCACACACAGACACACGCCTTTCACCAGAACAACAGCAACAAAAACATTGACAAGTGCTCAGTGTAGAGCTTCCTTCTGCCCAAAAGAGGCTAGAGAGTCTGCGCTGTGTCTATCTTCATCTTTGTGGTTTTGAGAAGGCTGATTGACGGAGCTCAAGAGCTGCCTCAGCAGTTCAGAGGGAGCTACAGCCGGGATACAAAGTGAGTAAACTGTAATTTAAAAAATAAAAATAATGTTAAAAAGGAGCACATTCTGCTCCTGCAGAAGACCCGGGTTCAATTCCCAGCATCCATAGGCTTAAGACTGTAACCCCAGTCTCAGGGGATCTGACACCCTCTGCTGCTCTCCTTGGGGCACATACATATACGAAGACAAATGTTCATACACAAAATAATCTTTGATTATTAGAAAGAAAACTACCTAAGGGCTACCGAGGGCTCTGCCATTAAGAGCACATCTGTTCCTGTTGGAGACCTGGACTAGGCGCCCGGCACACCCCCACCCCGGGCACTTCACAAAGGTAATTAACTCCAACACCAAGGGCATCGCTGCCCCTGACCGTCACAGGTGCCTGCTCCACGTGCATAGGCCCACACAGCCATACATGCGTACACAAAACACTAAAAACAGATCTTCAAAGAGGAAACCTGACGTCCACAAACAGCTTAAGTTTTATTTTAAAACATCAGTACGCTAAATGTGAGTCTAACTCGCCTTTCTCCGCAGGTCCAGGAAAACGATGGCTACTAATAAAGGAATGGCCATCGGCATCGACCTGGGCACCACCTACTCGTGCGTGGGCGTGTTCCAGCACGGCAAGGTGGAGATCATCGCCAACGACCAGGGCAACCGCACGACCCCCAGCTACGTGGCCTTCACGGACACCGAGCGGCTCATCGGGGACGCCGCCAAGAACCAGGTGGCCATGAACCCGCAGAACACTGTTTTTGACGCCAAACGTCTGATCGGCAGGAAGTTTAATGACCCTGTGGTGCAGGCCGACATGAAGCTTTGGCCGTTTCAAGTGATCAACGAAGCCGGCAAGCCCAAGGTGCTGGTGTCCTACAAGGGCGAGAGCCGGGCCTTCTACCCCGAGGAGATCTCGTCCATGGTGCTGACCAAGATGAAGGAGACTGCAGAGGCCTTTCTGGGCCACAATGTCACCAACGCGGTGATCACGGTGCCCGCCTACTTCAACGACTCGCAGCGCCAGGCCACCAAGGACGCGGGCGTGATCGCGGGCCTGAACGTGCTGCGGATCATCAATGAGCCCACGGCGGCCGCCATCGCCTATGGCTTAGATAAAGCAGGTCACGGGGAGCGCCACGTGCTCATCTTCGACCTGGGGGGCGGCACGTTCGACGTGTCCATCCTGACGATCGACGAAGGCATCTTCGAGGTGAAGGCCACGGCGGGCGACACGCACCTGGGCGGGGAGGACTTCGACAACCGGCTGGTGAGCCACTTCGTGGAGGAGTTCAAGCGCAAGCACAAGAAGGACATCAGCCAGAACAAGCGCGCGGTGCGGCGGCTGCGCACGGCGTGCGAGCGCGCCAAGCGGACGCTGTCGTCCAGCACGCAGGCCAACCTGGAGATCGACTCCCTGTTCGAGGGCATCGACTTCTACACGTCCATCACGCGCGCGCGCTTCGAGGAGCTGTGCTCGGACCTGTTCCGCGGCACGCTGGAGCCCGTGGAGAAGGCGCTGCGGGACGCCAAGCTGGACAAGGCGCAGGTCCACGACCTGGTGCTGGTGGGCGGCTCCACCCGCATCCCCAAGGTGCAGAAGCTGCTGCAGGACTTCTTCAACGGGCGCGACCTGAACAAGAGCATCAACCCCGACGAGGCGGTGGCCTACGGGGCGGCGGTGCAGGCGGCCATCCTGATGGGGGACAAGTCGGAGAACGTGCAGGACCTGCTGCTGCTGGACGTGGCGCCGCTGTCGCTGGGGCTGGAGACGGCGGGCGGCGTGATGACCGCGCTCATCAAGCGCAACTCCACCATCCCCACCAAGCAGACCCAGATCTTCACCACCTACTCGGACAACCAGCCCGGCGTGCTGATCCAGGTGTACGAGGGCGAGCGGGCCATGACGCGCGACAACAACCTGCTGGGCCGCTTCGAGCTCAGCGGCATCCCGCCGGCGCCCCGGGGCGTGCCGCAGATCGAGGTGACCTTCGACATCGACGCCAACGGCATCCTCAACGTCACGGCCACCGACAAGAGCACGGGCAAGGCCAACAAGATCACCATCACCAACGACAAGGGCCGCCTGAGCAAGGAGGAGATCGAGCGCATGGTGCAGGAGGCCGAGCGCTACAAGGCCGAGGACGAGGGCCAGCGGGAGAAGATCGCCGCCAAGAACGCGCTCGAGTCCTACGCCTTCAACATGAAGAGTGCAGTGAGTGACGAGGGCCTCAAGGACAAGATCAGCGAGGCCGACAAGAAGAAGATAGTGGACAAGTGCCAGGAGGTCCTTTCCTGGCTGGAGGCCAACCAGCTGGCTGAGAAAGATGAGTTTGATCATAAGAGAAAAGAACTGGAAAGCATGTGTAACCCCATCATCACAAAACTCTATCAGGCAGGATGCACCGGGCCCGCCTGTGCCCCGGGCTACACGCCCAACAGGGCCGCCACAGGCCCGACCATTGAGGAAGTAGATTAGCGTTTTTTTCTGGAAGTACAGGGTGCTAGGGTGCCTCTAGGTGAATTTTATTCATCTTCAAACATCATTATGATTCTTGAACTGACTGGACTTAAACCTTAGTCACCGTCCTTTGGGATTCCAACGGGGAAGTCTTAGATTCCATCTTTTTGTGCCCCCACCTCTCACCTATAATCCTGAAATGGTCCTTCAGGAAAGCCAGGCCCCTCTTTGAGCCATTTGAAGAATCTGGCTTCTGTTATTTATTAGCCACACCCCACCGCTTCCTTCCTGTGGGGGATGGTTATTTGCCTTTCAGTAAATTTGTTCCCAAAGGAAACAATTTGTTGTGTTTTGATTTGTTTGGCCAGGCCCTTACTCTACTGTACGTGACTAGCTCACGCCACACTATGTAGGCCAACTTGGCCCTCAACCTGCAGCGATCCTCCCGTCTGCCACCTGATTTCTGAGACTGCAGCACACCATGCCCAGCTTTTGGTTTTGGGGGGGCAGGGCTTCTTGATGCCCAGGTTAGCCTCCAAAGTTCTGTGCCCAAGCGACCTGGTCTTCCCTTAACCAGCTTACTTCCTGGTCTCTAAGCTGTTGGCGCTTCTGGGACATTAAGAAAGCTCACAGAGGACCTGCATTTTCTGTTCATGAGTTCCTTGTGAATGTTTAACCTTCGAAAAGCACTTGGATTTGTGTAAGTTCAGCATTTCCAACAAAATTATTTCGCCTTTGTTTTCTTGTTTGGAGACAGGGTCTTACGTAGCCTAGCTCTTGCCTTGAACTTGTGTTCATGTTGCCTGGGATTACAGAACACTAGTTACACCTGCCAAGAAAACTATTTTCTAACTCTCGGCACCCTGGGCCGGTATGAAGAGTTGCTAGCCGTGGTGACTGCCTGTAACCAGTGACAGGCTGTTTCTGGTTCAGGCGTTAAGAATTCTGCTGAACGGGGTGAAGGAATGCTGCTTGAATGCTGGCGGATCCACACCTGAACGCAGTGGTGCGACCCAGCACGGGGTGGGGCAGAGAGAGAAGTGTCTTTGGATCAGTGGGGGCCAGAGAGACAGCTCAGTGGTTAAGGACACTTGTTACTCTTCCAGAGGACCAGGGCTTCATTCCCAGCATCTGTATGGTGACTAATGACGATAACCCCAACACTCCCCGTCTCTGGGAGCACTGCACACGTGGCACACAGGCAAACACGCAAGTAAAAACACGCTCACGTATAAAAATTTAAAGATATTTAATAAAATGTAAAGCAAAGAAGATCCTCTGGCTTGCATGTCCAGCTCCCCCCACCCCCCCCAGGAAACCCTGGCTACAGTCTATTCCGGCATCCCCGCACACTGCAGAGCATTCCACCCTGTAATCAGCAAGCCCAGACTCCCAGAATTTTCACCCATGTCCCATGGCTGCCTTGCACCTACAGCCAACCTCAAGAGGAGACAACAAACATTCCTCAGCAAAATAGCACATGTCCTCTGTATCAAGACAGGATTCCCACACGAGGCACAACACAGCAACTTGCCTTTCAGTTACTATGAAAAACAACCGCATCACCTTTTCTCTCCCGCTGCAGTGCTGTCTTTTCTCTGGGAATTGCCCACTGAGGCTCTGTGGTCTCTTCTGTCAGAGCTTCAGTCACAGCTGGAATGTTGCAAGCCTGTTCCCAGAACATTCAAGCAATATTTGGAGGCAAGCTATCGGAAACTATGTCAAGGATGCAGAGACGGCTCAGCAGTGAAGAGCAGCTGTTGCTCCTTTGGAGGACCCAGATTCCATTCCCAGAGCCCACAGTGGCTCACAGCTGTCTGGAACTTCAGGCCCAGGGCATTTGAAGCCCTCCTCTTACCAGGCACTCATGCAGCATGGACATAATGCAGGCAAATATACCCATGCACAAAAAAAGCTTAAAAAAAAGCTATTTTTACCACTGAGCTAAGTCTGTTTAGTCCTTTACAGACAAGTGCTATGCAAACTTTTTAAAAAATGCTAGTGCTGGGATGTCATTCATTGGTAGATTTTGCTTAGAATGCGTAAGTTCTGGGTTCAAGCCCTAGAAAAGCACGTACTGCAATTACCACAAAAGGTGCTGAGAGAAACTTATTTACTGGAAACCTTTGATAACCAGGATTTGTGTTCACGCTCCCCTCTCTCTGTCTCTTCTCTCTCACTCACTAACGACTGGGTGTTGAAGTGTACTTCAGTCTCTCTGACGCAGGGTCTAGCTATGATAGCGGCAGGGGGCCTCTAAACCGAAATCCTCCTGCCTCAGCTCTGTCCAGGATTGCAGGAGGGCACCAACCTCTCTGCCCAGCTCTTAGCAACATTTTATCCTTCACTCATCAAAGAATACAAACAAGTCATAATTTTCTCAGTCTTCCCAGTAATTCTCAACAGGAAACGCAGAGTACGTACACACCACACGGAGCGGAGGAGAGGCTACATAAATAACTCATCAGAGCATGGGCGAGCTCCTCACGCAGCCGCCGCGGCCCACGCATGCGCGTTGGGAAGCAGCCGCTCAGGAGGAAGTGGGACCAGGAAGGCCCGCCCCTTCCGGTTTGGCGTTCCTCGCCGCTCTGCCGCGCTGGGCTCAGCCGCGCGCTCTCGGCCGGGCTACTTGGGCGTCTCCCCCCCCCCCGCGCCTGCGTGATCCTGTCCTGCCCCACGCGCGGGCTCGCGCTCGGGCCCCCGCCCTGCCTCCGGCCCGCAGCCCCCGGCCCTTTCCTTCGCGGTCCGGGCCGCAGCGCGTGGCGCCAGCACCATGGTGGGTACCGTGACGTCAAAAGGCAGCGCCGCCGCGCGCCGCGGGCCGTTCGAACCGTGCGGGGCCGGTCTTGGGGCCCAGCACACCTCCACTTGAGACCGCCTGGAACCAATGGTGTTTTGGGGGAAGCTTGCAGCAAGCCCAAGAGAAAGCCCGCGGGCACCGCGGGAGAACGGAGAGCCAGCCTCGCGTTTCCGTGCTGGAGACCAGGATTTTTGGAGGGTGCGGGCGGGGTGGTCGGTTCAGAGGGTGGGCTCTGGGCCGTCGCTGTCTCTCCGGCCCAGTGAGCTGCAGAATCTGAGATCGTTGCTGTGGCAACTGCCGGAGTCGGTGGGGCCGCAAAGACTAGTCTTTCAAAGCAGTGATACCGGGTTCCTCCTCCGCGTTCCCTTTCATGTGACAGTTGCCCCCTCCCTCTTTCCCCATAGCTCTTCTACTCCTTTTTCAAGTCCCTTGTGGGCAAGGACGTGGTCGTGGAACTCAAGAACGACCTCAGGTAGGTAGTTATTTCAGCGAGTTAGTGGAAGGTGGGGGTGGCCTGGGTCCTGAACCTTTTTTTTTTTTTTTTTTTTTGCCAAGTGATTTGATACGTATGTATACATAATACTTATTTATATATTTAATTTACATGAAATATATTTATTTGTTACATATTGTAGATAACAATATATTAATATGTTTTTATTTATAATTTAATTATAATAGATATTACTTCTGTGTGTGTGTATATATGGTGTCTCGGAAAATAAAAAGCGATGGCTGTGTATTAGAGCTTTGTTAGGGGACGTTGACATCCTTTTCGACATAGTGAATTCCCAACCAGCCAGAGCTACTCAGTGAGACCCTTTCTTAAAACTAAAAGAATCTGGAAATATATGTGTTCAGGCAGGCTTGCACTGTGCTTTTAAAGTGTCCTAAATAATCTCTTCTTATACTCTTGGAAAAAATACACCACAATGATTATAATACCTGAAAAGTTTAAACAATTTAAATATCTAGCATTAATCCATCAAAATGTTAGAGGTTAGTTAGAATTTAGTAGGGAGTACTTCCATATTGAAACCTGTTAGCATAGGACTGAGGCATATTGGTAGGGTAGGAAGTTGGCTGTCACATAAATGACATAGTGTCCACTGTGTTAAAGAAAATGTAAAGAGAAGACAGAGCACAGTCCCTTCTGCTCGTGGGACTCTCCCTCCTTGTATTTGCTCCTTCCTTCCTTTCTTCTTTTTTTTTTTTTTCTTGGTTTTTTTTGAGCCAGGCTTCTTGTGTACCCAAGTGTCCTGAAACTTACTGAGATCCATCAACCTCTGGCTCCTGAGTGCTGGGATTTGCCCGGCTGTGCCATTTGCCATTAATCATTCAGGACTTGAATAAAGGCAGTATCACTGGAAAGATGTTCTGTGTTCTTTTATTTACATCAGTCCAGCTCTTAGAGTTTGTTTTAGTCTTAATAGATGCTTTGGAAATTACAGTTTTCACTGAAGTGTGTTTCTTTTGTGGGACTGGGCATGCTCAACAAGCAAGCCACCACCTGAACGCCATCGCCAGCCCTCACACTGTATCGTCTCATGTTTCTCTCTTTTTAAAACATTTTATTTGTTGACTCTTGAAAGCGTTGGGCACACATTGGTACTTGAGAACCTTGATTCTGCAACACCTAGAACATGGTGCTGACATGAGGGGGGTGTGGCCAGTGAGAGGCCGGGCAGCTAAGACCTTTTGTGTAGTCCAAGTGTCAGAGTAGTGGGGAGCCATAGAATGTAGAGAGTGGAGGAGGGTAATTTTAGTTACCTTTATGGATTTGTAGGTGTTGACATGCTTTTTTTTTTTTAATCTATTTAGGTTCTTAGGTCTCTACCTCCCTTCACCCCTTATCCTTTCCGACACCCCA